AAATTGTTTATAGTTGTTTATAGTTGAAACTGTTTTAAATGCTTATTCATTTTTTCAAAAATGTATTAAAACTATAATCATAAAATAAAATAAATTTATAAAGTTACGGTGCTTAACAGCTGATCTTGAAAACAGTATCTTCGACTTAGGAGAAAATGTGCGATTTTACTGAAAATCGGAAAAATGATTTAGTTGATAGCCAAGATAAGATAAAGGACTCAGTAATGATAGACAGGTGTTTACCATATAATTCAATTATAATTAATAGATTACACGTTGTAATTTAAAACTGTAACTATCTTTGCTGCTTCAAATAATTTGACAAAATGTTTTAGCTTTATAAGATATTGTGATAAAATAAACCAATGAAATAAGTAACTTCTAAAATTGTTTGACACGTAATCAGAGAATCTAAGACCTTTTTTGGTTTATTCACGTTTCGTGAGCACGACACGTAGCACATTTAATGTAACGTGGCAATTAAGAGGGCTACTACCGAAATAAATGATATTCACGAAAGCATTAAGCTGTCATCGTGATGTCAGTGTCAATGCTATTTACCCATATCACGTCTTATCTTCCTTCTTAACACTCCAGATTAATTTTCAGTGAAGCGGCAACGTTACGGCATACCTGTTTCTGTTTTCAATCTGTATGATGTCAGCTATGTGAATGTAAGAAATTGTCCTGACAACATTCGTAAAACCGTTCTCTCATATCACTCGGAGCAAGCATCGAGCTCCTTTAATAAACATTAATTGTAAGATCGATTCGTCATTAAATGTGATTGTAGCTTTCGCTTACGATTCAAGGCAAATGGACGGAAAAGGATAATGGCGCTGACTACATGAGATGCATTTGCATCAGACGTAATGAGATCGTTTTGTCAAATTCATATGTGTAACATTCTCTTGCCTAAGAAATTAATAACTTTGCGCAAAATGTCACGTTGGAATTTGCGAAACGTACGTGTGCAGATAATTTAATTAAAGCATCTCTATGTGTGTGTGTGTGTGTGTGTGTGCGAAGAGTTACCTCAAAATAATATTAAAATATTTCTGTTTTTATTTAATATATTTATATAAATGGAGACTTTATTACATTTATAGTAAAATAGATCAATAAAGTAATGCTAATGTTAAACTGCTATTGTTATTTCATGTCATTGTTCCATTATATTTTTTTCATTATTTTTGTGTCTTTCATGTATTCAAGTAATGTATACAGGGTGTCCCATAATTATGTTAACACCCGGAAAAGGGTAATGCCTGAGATTATTTGAAGTAACTTTTTTCTTATCAAAAATGCAATCCGCGGCTTTGTTTACGAGTTATCAACGAAAAACGCTGACCAATGAAAGGCGAGTTCTCGAGTAATGAGCGCTCGAAGTCCAGTTCCGCTCATTGGTTCGCTCGCCACGAGCCAGCTGATTTCGCCTCTCATTGGTTGGTGTTTTTCGTTAATAACTCTTAAACAAAACCGCAATTGTATTTTTGTTAAAGAAAAAGTTACTTCAAATGACCTCAGGAATCAGGGGTGTTAACATAATTATGAGACACCCTGTATATCTTGATTGAATCAAAGTTGTCCTCCAGTGGAAGTTCCAGTTTGTATTTTCGTCGCTGATGAATGTATCTTGGGCAGTCAAAAATTAGATTCCGTTTGTAATTGGTGTATTGCAGTCTTCACGCATCGGTATAGATATGAGTATAATTTCTGTGGCGATCTAGAATGTCTTCAGTTAAGTTGCAGAAAATTTGTGAGTTTGTGTCATTCTTGCTATGTATAGTTATGGTGATATATTACCATGCTGGTAATTGTGGATTGTCTTTGTAAAATAGTGGAGATGAATTTAGTGTCTAATTTCTGTTCCAGTTTATATATTCTGTAATGAAAGGGTTTAGGTAGCCATTGATGTTGGCCATAATTTGAGATGAAACGATTTGGGAAGGTATTGATGTAGTTAAATTAAAAAATAAGTTCTTAACATAATTGAAATTATTGTGAACAAAATTTTAATTCCTTTTTAATATTGTTTATTTTCTAATAATTCGTGTTAACTATAATTACACAATTTTAAATAGATAAGAGACAACAGAATTTGTAAATATTACAATGATTGTTTTGTTAACAGTGCGAAGAAATTTATACGCTTTTTAAACATTTAAATATGCAGCGGGGGTCGTCCGTTAAATTTGAGTTTGGTATAAAAGATGTTTACGGACGAAACTTGACATTTACATTTAAGGTGTTAATTGTTCATTAGAAATCTGACCATTACTGATATCTTAGTTCTGAATAATCTTTCCATCAATCTTGAATAGGTGACGTCCAGGGAAGCCATTTGCCCAGCCGCTGCGTGTTAGATCGCAAATCCTTGGCTCTTGGGAGTAGGGTTTGTATTCGTAGCTTTGGATGCCGTTGCCGGCATTGAAGCCGACCTAAAATAAATCGATACAAGATCACAATCCCGAGGAGTCGGGGTGATTACATAGCCAACGCCATGAGATACTGATCATTAGTCCCTTATAAATCTATTTTATAGATTTCAAAATTGATCTTTGCAGCGAATCTAACTTAATATTTTAGCAGACCTATTATTTATAAACTTTGCAATGACTGTGCTATGTAAACTGTAATCTCAAGGATGACTTATACAGGATGTCCCAAAATTATGGTACTTACGAGAAATGAGGGATTTCTGAGGTAATTTGAAGTATCTTTTTCGTTAGCGAAAATGCTATCCACGACTTCGTTTACGAGTTATTAATGAAAAACACTGACCAATGAGAGGCGAGATCAGCTAGTGCTTGGCGGCCGAGCCAACGAGCGGTCGAAACCCAGTTCCGCCCATTAGCTCGACCACCTACCCGAGCTCGGCTCTCATTGGACAATGTTTTTCGTTAATAACTCGTAAACGAAGCCGCGGATTACATTTTTGCTAAGGAAAAAGTTACTTCAAATGACCTCAGGAATCCCTCATTTCCCGAAAGTACCATAATTTTGGGACATCCTGAATCGGATGACTAATGAGACTACTCTCTATCTCTATCGAACAATTCATTCGAAAATCTTAGATTATTTATCTTTGATTTGCAATAGACTGTTAAACAATAACTGATAGGCAAAATGACTTACAAAAGCCGAAATGCCGCCTAATCCGAGAACAACATCGCCACCAGCCTCGGTATGACTGGTCCACTGAATGTCCAAGTAGTTGAAGATCGCATAAGTTGACACTTCGTCGGTAGCAAGAACCATTTGGAAGGTGTTTGTTTTGTAAAGAGAAAGATCGATTCCACCAGCGAATGATATGTTCTTCCAAGTGATTACGGCAGCGTGTTTTGGTTCGAAAGATTCGGAATCAGCGATGCCCTCACGGATGTCCCACGTCAAACGTTCTCGCATTTCCACACCGAATTGGTCATTCCTCGATTGCAGATCTCGTTCGAGCCTAAACTGATTCAGTTACTATATTCACGTTCAAATTCATGTTGTTACTTCATTGATCATGAAGTCCCTGAAATCCCACGTACCTGAAGTAGATACCTGGCATTCGTCTGTCTATATCGCTACTTCGTACTTCGCCTATACGACATTTGCTGTAGAATATTCCTATGAAACTGGGATCGTTCCTCTTCGGCCAGCCTGGTACTGGGAACTTCAGTGGATAAGTGTAGTGCTCTGGAGGATCGCTGAATTCTAAGTAACCATTCATAGATACCTAGAAGCATCGAGCAATTTTTCAAGAATTCCGGATGATTAGAAAATGAATCTAATTATTGTACGGTTTTGCTCAGGCGTAGTTTTCAATATTTTCGAAACCACTTATTATTGCATTCAATTGTGCGGCTATCAGTTCATCGTAGTCCAGTAATTCATTCAATTTATTAGCCAAAGATAACAACTTAACACTTCATTGGACTATTTCGGAATTTCGTATTACAGTAATTTCTCCCAGAAATGCCAGATTTCGGATTGCTGTGAATTTCCCTGTGCTAGACCTACGCCTATGTAATTTATTGCTACGTCGATGCTGAAAGTCGACGGAGTGGATCATGTGTCCTTCGGATTGCCTTCAAATTGTGTCACGTGGCTCCGAATTGACTTCGAATCGTGTCACGTGGCCTCCGAATTGCCTTCGAATCATGGCAAAAAATTAGAAATAAAAAAGTCAAATCATCATTTTTATTCTAGCATTGCTATGTATTCATATTAATGTACACCGGGATGCTGGTCGCGGCCTTTTTTTGACGACCACCCCGAGTTTCTATAAAAACGAGCCGCGTGACCCGAAGAATCGCGACTTAGTATTCTCAGATCTGCCGGCTTCAATTCCGATTTCCGAACATTCGTAGGAGAAATTACTATATCAGTTTACTTATCATGTTTCTATTTATCATTACCTGCATGATAAGATATTTTTCGATGCTTCAATATTTCCACAATTCAAAATGAAACTTTATGATGGTAACGAATATTGAAAATACCGACGTGCACATACGCATTCAATTTAGCAGCACCTACATAAGGATAATTTATTTCCATCATTTCCATTACGCGTTTTTGTAGCAAGAACGGATACAAAAATCGTCATGGTAAAATATTTTCTAAGTAAATTGTTTGAAAGTATCTTCGATCGTATAAGACACAGCTAGCATGATTTAACACTTACTGCAGCCACGAGTTAACTCGTCTCTAATTTGTATAAAAATGCGCTGAACGATTTTGGATACATCAACTAGATGGTCAAGAAGTTAAATAGCGGATTCATATGATCTAACAGAATGGTATTTTCGAATTCGGGAATTCGGATGAAGCTTCGTATTGATCACCGACGTACTCTGGTGTAATTGTACGTGGATCCAAAGAACGGCATCTCAAAGTTGAGATTCTTATGTATCTGAGACATTGACGGCTTGATCTCTTTCAGGTAATCGCCTAAATTGTAGTCTCCACCTTTGTCGGAGTACCAATACATGAACTCCGACCGGATGTCCTTTAATCGCTGTTCAGTTATGGCATAGTTCTGAACCGAGTCGGACGAACTAGGTACGTACCTTTCCGCCTCTGGTGAATCCGAATCTGCGGAAATTGGATATTCATCATCGATTTTGTCCCCTATCCAGGAGACGACAATTCGGGGCTACAAAAGCTCATGGACTCCAGCGTGTATCGAACATTAAGCATCGCGTTCTAGGATCGATGGTCGTAAATAAAAGACAACAAGGATGTACAGTAAACTCTCCGTAATTTTCCTTCAGTTTGTAAACAAAAATGGATAATTTGGGAAGAGGAGATACGTTTGTTCGAGCCTTCTGCCTAGTTTTTAGGATTGTTGACGATCGGCAGCTACAAAAATGAGCCGTGAGGCTCGAATAATCGTATCTTCTATTTCCAAATCGTCCACTTTTGTTTACAAGCTGAAGGAAAATTAGGGAGAATTTACTGTACTAAGTACTTATTACGAAAGCGTTAACGTCGGATATTCATGAAAATAACGCGTCCATTGAAATTGAAAAACTCACCTTCGTTCAGGCCCTCCATATCCATATTTGCGGTTTCCCATGTCTGCACTTCATGTGTCAATTCGTACGCGTCTTCGACAGATTGGTCCTCGCATTGAGCGGATATTCCACTCGCCAGCAACAATAAAAGACACCCGAGAACGTTCAATCTTACGAAACCGAAAAGACGTTTGCGCTCTTTCAGCATTTTGAATAACTCCAGGATGGATGTACAGAAATGTCTAGTATTGTTACTGTGTCAGAAGTGTCTAGATTTATTCAGGTGATCCAAAGACACTGAGCCTCGCCTCAGGCAGCGAATCCTGATATCGGCGCTGATATCAGTTATATTACGATAAGGCGCGTTTTTCACTTTACTACAAGTGGACAAGCTAACGTGGAAACTGAAACGGATGAAATCGACGAATGGATAGTTGCTTATTTTTCCAAAGGACGCGAATCGATGCCGTTCAGACAGTTGTAGGTGCTCGAATTGGCACGATACGTTGTTCTGATTTCTGTTATTGATACCCATTATCCTTCCCGAAAGATCCTACTCACGGTCTAATGACGATTTATGGTTTCGTTATAATTAATTTAAAAAATTAAATAAGGAAGGGCAGTATCTTTGTAAATGTCCTCGGCGATGGTGCTCTATGAATCATCCCACGGGACCTAATCAATTTAGATCACGGTCCAGCTTATTCTGTTGAACCTAATTTAATATCGATGCTTATACTTACCTGTATATTGCGGATTTAATGCACTTATGATAAAAATGTATGAAGTAAAGAAAAATGTTATCATATCATTTTACACTCTTTAAAATTGACGAACGAAAAAAACATTCCAGGCATTTTCTGATTTTTGTTTTTTTTTGTTTTTGCAATCGACCCAGAAAAGTTTTCTTTGCCAGAAAGACACCCGCAGTTTTCTACTTATGTTTCTTTTATCGTTCCGTGTGCAATAGAGACGATTTGTTGTTTTGTTGCAGCTGGCAATGCAAATTCAACGAGGCAGGATACAGTGATTTTGTGAAAAACCTCGATGATGGAGCTCTGCTACGCGACGTAATCATTTTGAAGAAAACTTAATTTCAGTTTTGAGCAAGTTGTTCATTGTATTTCTGAAATGTAGTGTTATTTACAAAAGCTATGCGTTTTGCGTGATTGCGTTCAGGGCACAGAGCCTGGGAAACTTGGGAGTGAGTACTCAGTTCGGAAGATAACTGGGTCAGAATACGCAACCAGTATGTGTATTAAAGATTCCTTCTCTCTCCTCTCCTCTCTCTCTCTCTCTCTCTCTCTCTCTCTCTTCCGCATCTATTTTACCCTCTCTTTGTCTCTCTCCCCCTCGTGCCCTTCTTGTTCTTCCTCTCGTTTCATAGCCGTCGATCTATCACTCACGTTTCAGGTATGTGTACACATAGCGTTGCTGCCTTCCAGTATCCCAGCCGGACTGGCAGCGAGATTTACTTTCTGGAGACAAATGAGCCACACATTTGGATTGTTATCGATCAATGCGCCGATAACCTATCCTTTTCGCGTCTCCTCCCTGAGAACGAGCGGTCGGCGAAGAGAAAGTTCCAAAGAACAATGAACGGTATCGTGCGTGAAATTAAGCGGAATTCAATTAATTCGTGCAAACTCGGCGAACCGTCCATCGCGAAAAGTTATTGCGATTGTTCATCGATTCTGTTATGCAGCTGTTCGTTCGTGTCGATCTTCGGTTAACACTGCGAGCACCGGAAGTCATTTTTCTCAAGAATTAATTGTTATTAATGTCTATTAAGTTTAATCGAATCTTCGACGTGCAAGAACGTTACAAAATATTGTATTAAATCTAGACTTTTCTACTCCTATGTTATTAAACAAGTTGTTCTAATTTGACGCCTCTTGGTGCCTAATTTGATGTCACTGGTGTGGATTTGTGTATATAAAATAAATGAAATCTCGTAAAAGGTTTCTTAAAAAGAGTTTCGGACTAAACTCGAATCTCGAATCGAAATCTAAATTTTCAATTTAAATTGCATTATATCTTAATTAGAAATATTATCTACGAAGGGATACATTTTTTGTAACGTAATAAGAAATATGCTAGACGATATACTTTGTCCGGAGAATCGAGTTTATGACCAGGACATGACGGAACTTTTATTCTTTTGCATACCTCGCCGCATGATTCACAGCAAGCGAGTCTAGCCTGTGTATCCTGCATCGCTATATCCTGTTATAGCCATTGTTCGATGTCCTGTTAGCGGTTGGCCAGTTACCCGATCGTTTGGTCACAATTTTAGCCTTCGTGAACCGTATTGTGTTATGTCCGCGTCTTGTGATTACGGTTTCTGGGAAGAAATTTGAGAAACTTGTAACCGTAATCAACATGACATGTAATATTATTGATCCAACGAAACCGAAAATATTTTTAACATCTTAATATTTCAATCCCTATTGCCCCCTTCAATTATGCGAAATATCGAAATTGTTCAATTTATGTGTCCTGCGATAGAATTTGTGTAATTAGTACAATTGATACGGTTACTTATTATCTTGAAACTTGATTATTGTTTTCCCGTGAAACTTTTTCCTATCATCAATAACGGGTCAGATATTTCAGATGTTCGAGAAAGGTGGAACAATCTGTATGTAAAATACAAAATATAAACATTTGTTAGCAATAATAATACTTAAGGTGATAAGAATTTACTAATGCAAAATATCACAAGGCGGCGTATCAGAAACGCGGTGAACAATTATTTTTAAACATTATATGAAATATTTTCTGAATAAATTTTATCCGACGCTAACAATGAAAGCAACAGCCTCTCTGCATGGCTTGCACACCACTCACAGTTCATCAGATCATTTTTTGTTCAATTTGTTTAGCTTGAATTTATTCAAGCGTTTTCTATATATCGCGGAATCAGTCAATGTTTCCCAGTTTCTTTGTGGTATAGTTCGAACATTACCATCGATAACATTTAAATTTTATAATATACGACTACGTCGATTTAAATTTAGATCGACTAGACGTTCCATCCAAGTAATAATGGGCCGGACATTTCTATTCTCCCACGCAGTCAGCTTCGACACAAGCGTATGTATTACGACCGCTCCGTGTTTGTCTTTCTCCGAGTCTGTTTCTCGATCAGCTACCAAAGCTACCAAAGCTTGTTATAGAAATTTCTTTTTCGTTTTATTATCAACAGCACAAAGTGATTTACAGTGTAAAGAGATTTTTTTACGTTGTCGCAGAATCTGGAACGCTACCGAAGTGAAACTACGTTAGAAAGTTAGAAGTCAGGATATCAATAACTTTAATATCTTAAAATCTCTTTCGAATTGTATGGTTTTAATATTTATCATAAGCTCCTTGGGTGAAAATTTCACGCATTATCTGTTTTAGATAACGTCAAAGTTGTTTCTCCATTCTTGAGTTGCAAGTTCGTGTACTTGTTTCAAATACAAGATTAAATATAATTGGTGGAACGAAAATATCGAACAAAAAAAAATGAGAGGACATTAATCAAAAATATGTTACAGAATTACCATTTCTTTCTTTTACACATGCGCGCGAGGTACAATTTTACTACAATATTTTTCCTTTATCTATTTGTAAATATAGTTTTTAAAAATCAACGACGATGCTTTCGAAGAACCTGCAATACAAACAGCTAATAATTATAACTGACTCCTAAATGATTGCATTTATAATTTATTATGTAACCTGTGTACTTAAAACTGTATTGTTGTATTACAGATTGTGTAAAAAAAACTGTGTCATTTATATAACATTTATTAGAACAATATATATATATATTAATTAATAGGCTGTTGAAATAGAACAACTTTAGAAACATTTTTTACGCTATCTAATATAGAAAGCTAATTCTTTCAATTTCTAAAAAGAAACTAACGACTCAAAATGTTTCTTCTGCCTTGAAAGAGTGTCCAAACACTATGTGAGTCACTGCCGTTGATAATCGCAAGGAATAGCTGATTTAAAGATACAAATGTAAAAAGTCTCGAGCAGAGAGAAAGGTAATCGTCGAAATAGAATCAACTCAAGGTTTGCAGATACGTATTCGAAATATTCAGCATAAAGAAGATCAAATTGGACCAACGTATGATTAAGAATTTTAAAGTGAATCGATTTAGAAGCGAAAAACATGAATCCGATAACTTGGGAGCCAAAGAATTTACAACAAGTGACATAGTTCTAGACCTTAATAAAATATAACCACGATTCGAAAGACCACAGTCAAAAAGTGTGCTGAACCTTCATATAGAAGGATTCGTCGATCTAACCCCCGGATACATGATTTAACTGAAATCCTAGAACCCTGACCTAAGTTCCAGGACCTTGGCATCTAACCCGTGTCCTTCCTTATAAGAGTGGCCTGACTGAACTCTAACGTGTATGTTGCTGCTCTAAAATTCTGTAATTATACTTTGATCCTTTATTAACTTCTTTCAAGTTTTCCAAATTTACATCGCCGGAAATCAATTTTCTGCTCTCTGCACTAAAATTAATTCGAGGTCGTCAGGTTGTGTACTGTATTCGTCTTCGCTTATTAATAAGTTATCTACCAACAGTCTTCTGATAGTTCTTTTACAATCAAGGAATTGAACATTTCTTAGAACATTGTTCAAACGTGACAATAATTTTAGCGATAATCTAAGAAATTATTCAAATCTGTATAATACAACAATTTCTTTTGATTGATGTTCGAATAGTTCGAGCTACTGATGACCTAGCTGATCATCGAGCTGCTCTTAGTCATAACTCACAAAGTCATTGAAGATCCTATTTACAGGCTTCTGACAAATATAGTGCTAAAATTATTTACAATTCATGTTTCTTATAATTCATGCAGAAGAATTTGATTTTACCCGAAGTTTCGCAATCTAGTCATACCGCACATACCTTTGCCAGGAGTGAAACTTAACAGTGTTAATCATTAATTGTCAAATAATGGTAAAAATTCGGTAACTGCTCTAATTAATTTTATATGGTATAATAATTTTCAAATTATTTTATCATTTTAGATACTTCGATAAGAATGTTCGAACGTAAGCTTTGTTGACAACGGGTACACTATACCGACACTACGTAGACGAATACGTAAGAATGCCTAAAGGAGATCGGTGAACACAAAAGGAATTGCACTGGGAAAAGTGATTCTTCGATCGACGATTTATCGGCATCTCCGCTCTGGCTTTCGTTGCAATTAATCCCGGCTACCTTTTACGGTATTAATACTCGTTTGATGTAATTCGCCGAGCAGCTCATTGTACGTACGTATGCAGAAAGTGAGAGGACATATGCTTCTCGTAATAAGCTGCCCGACATTACTTTCACAACGGGAGCAAGGTCTTTTTTTCGCGTGGATGCGTCGTTTGTCTACTTTCATAGTTTCGGCGGCCAGGGGCTCAAGATC